GGAGCCGGGGGCCGGCCGCGGCGGCGCCGAGCTGGGCTCGCCCCTGACTTAACTTTCTGGGTGCGGGCATGTGTGCTGGAGGCGCGCGGGGCCGGGGGCGGGAGGCGGTCCGGGAGGTTCCGGGTTGGCTCGCCAGCGCCCCCTTTTCTCTCCCTGCTCCCCGCCCCGAAGGGACAGGCCCTCAGGGCCCCAGGCGGGAAGAGGGAGGGGCCCTCCCGGCCGGCTCGCGACGGTCACGCCCCGAGCTCGGGGACGCTCCTCTGCGGGGCCCCTGGGGCTCACGGGGGAGGGGGCCGGGGTCGCGGCTGCGGCTCCCCGCCCCCCGCCCCTCCGGGGAGTCCCGGAGGCGCCTCTTCCGAGATCGGGGGTGGGTCGTCCCTGCTTAGCTGGTCCCTCCCTCTTCCCCCTCCCCCCAGTGGTTTCCGGGGCCTGCGAGAGCAGGGGGCGGGAATCGGGGCTGCAGCCCCTTCCACGGGCCAAGATCTAGACTGGGCCTGACGCCTTCTGGGTCCGTCATTGGCGGGGGAAACTTTCCCAAACCAGAGAGAGAGCCTGAACGCCCTCCTCCGCCACCTCGTCCTCTAATCCCACTCCCACTCCACCGCCTCCCAGGCCTTCCCCTCCCACCGACCCGAATCTTGCTGCGGCTGACTGATGGGGCAGTGAGCCAATCGAAGGCGGGAAGCTGACCTGCCGGGTGTGGGTAAGCCAATCGTGGGATTCGGAGGAAGGAAGGGGGCGGGGTTTCACCCGGACCAGTTGGAGCGGAGTTGCGCGCGGGGCGGGGGAGTCATGGAGACGCCGAGAGCTATCCACTCTTGTTCATCCCTTGTCACCCGCACCTTGCTGGGGAGTGTCACTTACAGGAGCTCTGACCCGGGGAGACGTGTAGAGGTTCCCGAGATAACGTATTGCTCTGGTACGGCAAGGGGCGGTGTCTTAGACACCACGAAGTCTGAAAGGCGCTTCGGGATGTGGCAGTAACTCTGGAAGCCCGGTACCAAAATGCCAAGTGTTGTAATCGTGTCCTGGATCTCAGCACCGGGTTACGTGTTGAGGATCATAGACTTTATCAGTTTACCTGCATGTCAGTCTCGCTCTGCCACTCCAGCATTAGAACAATGAAATTTGAAAGGCTGCCTTGAGAATGAAGGCGTGAGGTCGCCTTGCACCAACTGATTATTGGCGTGCAAAGCATCGTTTGTGATGGCCTCAGTGTTTCCTTGTTCAGTGAGACCAGTTCCCAAAGTGTGTTTGAAAGTTTGGGGATGACATCAAAAAAAGGGATTGTATGGTACGCGGGTTTTTGTTTTGTTTTGTTTTGTTTTGTTTTAGCTCTGTCTTGGGTGAAGAAAATGAAGTTAGGAACCAAAGCTTCGCTGGAACATTAAGCGTGGGTATTTAAGGAGCAAAGCTAGTCAAAGAGTATTTGTGTAGAAGGGGGAAAAGTCGGAGTAAAATGTAGTTTGCCAGCTTACTCCCACACAAAAGATTCTTACAAATAATTTTAGTTTTCTTAAAGACTGCTGAGTTGTACAGCGCGTGGACACTTTCCTAGTTTACACGCTGCTAGGAGGCGTCATCCGTGGCTGTTCTGTTTGTTGAGTTCAGGAAAGTGGCTGTCTCAGCTCTTGACTTTTAGGAACAGAGAGGGTATGGCTTTGATACTCTGTGAGGACCACACGTTTCTCCGTGGGATAGCAGTCTTAAAAAGACAGCAGCTGTTACAATGCTTTGTGTGTGTGTGTGCCTGTGTGCACATGTGTGTTCCCTGCTCTTTGTTGGTGAGGTTAGTGCACCCTGACAGCAGCAACGCTCCTTTTCCCAGCTGGCATTTGTAGACTCTGGAAGTTCAGAGAGTGAACAGCATTAGGTGCACGATGAATCTATTCATTTTCTTGGGGATGCATATGCTGTGAATTTATTTGGAGGATTTTTAGAAGATGGTTTATGGCATGATATTTATGTTATCCGCACTAAGTTCTCAGTCAAGGTTTCATTGGTACTGGGTTCTGAAGAAACAATGGAGAGACTGTAGTTTTAGAGAGTGTATTCTGTTGCAGTGCACCGATTTCAAATTCATAATGTGAATTCGCAGTCCAGTATGATTTTGAGTGTTCATGTAGACAAATTAGTTGCATTTTGTTGTACTCCTTGTGCTATTTTAGTAATAAAAGTTAAAACAAACAAAAAAAAATACAAATGTTAATTTAGATTGATAGAAGCATGGGGCATTGTAAATTAAACCACTCCAAAATTTGATAACCTTCAAGCCCCCCATGGTCCATTTAGTTACTGAAGGCCACTGTGATGTATGCCTTTCTCTCTTTTGTATGCTTAAAGAGCATTATTTTACTTTATTTTTTACACCAATCCTTGAAAATGTTCTCAGATCCTTGGTGGCCGAGAGCAGCAAGTCCCTTAATGCCTGGCTAGGGGAGAAAAAACCCCTCTCAACCATATGGAGACATCTAGAAAAAGATGTGCACCGTCAGCTGTGATTCCATTGTGTGCTCTCAGACTGGATCTGAGCCTTCTTCCTCCTGGGAATTTCCGTCTTAAAGAGAGGAGTTCTTTGACTTTTAGATGTCAGGGTACTGAAGCAGGGTAGAAAAAAGCTCACCAATTAAGAATTTAATGTTTTTGAGTAGTCAGTATTTTTAAATTTTAATCCTTCATTGGTTAGATACAAATTAGGTGACTTTTTCTAGTGTTAGGAAAGTCTTTTACTGGAAATACAAAATGTAAAGCGTGGAGGGAGTTTTAGCTTGTGGTATGTGAGTGGATAGAAAGGGTAATGCTCCTTGGTTGGCTTTTTCTATAGTTATATCTTATTAAAGCTTTCCAAGTTTCAGTGGAATAAAGGATCTGTGAGCAAGCTTCATTACACACTATATTTAAGGATTCAGTACTTTACCTGTTTCAGATCATTTAAGGTTGAAATGTGACCTGCAAGTTGACAGCTTGGATTTCTTAGAAAAAATTGTGTTTTTTTGGTTTTTTTTTTTTGGTTTTTCTCCGGTACCGGGAACCGAACTCACGACCTTGCGCTTGCCAGGCAGGCGCTTTGCCGCTGAGCTAAATCCCCAGCCCCGAAAAAATTGTTTTTGTTGTATTAAGTATAAAAGCAGCTCTTTTAAGCAGTCCTTCTTAGAATGTTGGGTAGAAAAAAGAAATACGGTCTCTTTAAACAATTCTTGTAGAAGATTAATTCTCTGAAATTTACTTGTCCTTATTTGATATTTTACCCATTCTTATGTCATGATTATAATTATATTTTAAAGCATAATTAATGTTTAGTTATGACAAGACTGTTACTGAATAAATTTTAGCTTTTTGATGTTTTGTGTTTATGATTTTGTTTGGTACTATATTATTACATGCTTTGCTGATTGTAAATGAAGAGAATAGGAGGGAGAAGTAAGTCACTGCTTTAAGGTATTGGTTTTTTTTATTGCAGTAAATCTTAAAATCAGCAAACCAGGAACTTTTTCTCTAGTGAAATAATATTATATTTACCTTTTGTGGGGGTAGTGCTGAGGGTGGAACCCAGAGCCTTGAGCATGATAGGTAGGTGCCCCACCAGGGACCTACACCTCAACCCTTGAAGGAATACTATATTTACATGCAAATAATGAAAGGCTTGTAAAGGAAAACAGAGCAAAACCTTTAATTCTTTTTTTTTCTTTTTTTCCCCCGGTACCAGGAATTGAACTCACGACGTTGCACTTGCCAGGCAGGCGCTGTGCCGCTAAGCTAAATCCCCAGCCCCCAAAACCTTTAATTCTTTATACGCCTTCTTTTTTAAAAAAAAAATTATTTTCTTTATAACTTTTCTTATCTCAAGCTAATTTTATGTCTTTGGCTTACTTTTCTAAACAAAATGACGTTTTTAGTGTTTGTATATTTACTTCCTTTTTTTGTTTTTTAAGACCTGTAGGAGGGTTTAAGGATTGCAGACTGTAGGAACACTATCTTGTCATTACTCTCAGAAGTCTGTTAAAAAGTAATGGCAGAAAAGTTGTAAAATACAATTTTAGCATCACAGATCTTCAGGTTGGACAACATAAAAAATATACATACCAATTTCTAGACAGAGGGCAGAATGTGACTTCTGTGGATATTTTAGAAGTTTGTGTAGTTTCCCTAGCTGTTGTAGAACTGTTTATGAAAAGGAATGAGAATCTTCAAGGTAAACCTCTGCTTTGAATGTCACTGGAATTAAAAGACTGATGGTCTGCAGGTAGAACATGCTTTTGGCTTTTGGGGCAAAGATTTTTTTGTGTTTACTCATGAAATGTTCATCGACCACATTTCTGGCTTTTAGTGGCTGTGATGACAATGCAATTGTGGACATATTGATTCTGGGGCAATGTTTGGTTGGTTCCTTGGTTGGAAATTTCTAGAGAAGTAAATGAATAGAGAACCTATGGGAGTGTTTTACTTAGATGCTTTTGAGAGTTTTAGATACAGAATCATACTTGTAAGTAATAAAGAGAAGGGGGCTACGTGTGAGCAGACACTATTAATAACAAAAGGTTCTTGAAAAGATACTTGACAAGGCGTCAGTGAATAGATAGCTCTATGGAAAGTTTTAAGTTAGCCTGGTAATTGTGATAGAATTTATGGCTCAAGGCAGCCAGTTCCAACCCTTCTTGTCCTGGTTGGCCAACTTAAATTTCGTGTTGAGCTTTTAAGATCTTTTGCTCACGTTCTTGCCTTGCTTAGCTGTTGTTTTTATTATTGGGCCTTTAATTCGTTTGATGACTATTTAGGTGTCCTGGCGTTGACAGTATACTACTTTCATAGTTTGAAGACAAAACCCAGGCATTGAAAATCCAGTGATTAAAGGGGGAACAGACAGCGTGGAAGAATTTTCCTTTGCTTTTTTCTTTTTTCTTGGGGAGAAGGTGGTATGGGAAATGTTCGCCTTAATTTCAACTTGTTTGATATTTAAGATCTATTCTTTCATGTGTAATTTTAATTACATAATGTCAGCAAATTTTGCTTTGAGTTTGGGTCAGATTTTTCCTGAAAATAGCATTATAATGTTTATAATAAGAAGAAAAGTTGTTAAATGTCTTTCTGACTGAGTGGCTTACAGTTAAGTAGATTTCTTTTAATAAAGGTATAGGTATTTATAATTACTTTGATCTCTTTGAAATGGTGTTGCAGCTTCTCTTTCCCTAAGTCCTCTTGGAGGTGTGGTCACGGCGGCGCTCTTGTTGATCAAAGGACCAGGGAAGCATGTTGGAGACTCCATTTCTGTGGGTTTCTTGTGCATTGTTGCTGCCCTAGGGCTACATATTCTGGGCCTCGACACCCTAGGTTTCTAAAGGAAGGTATGCAGCCTTGCACAGATGTTCTGCCGTGGGTGTCACTTTTTCTAGGTATAGCTCATTCTTAGTCTTTAAAAAAATTTTTTTTTTAAATTTTTATTGGTACAGGTTTGTGGTACATAATGATTTCACTCACCTCAGAAAGTTGGTACATGTATATGTAGCACATCTTAATTCTTTTTCTGTGTCCTTCTCTCCTCCCTCTTCCTCCAACTCTTGTCCCTGCTGCCATTTGCAAAAGATCTATTTCCCTGTTTTACTCTTTAAATTTTTGTTTTACTCTTTAAATTTTTTGACTTGGCATGGTGGCTCATGCCTCTAATCCCAGCACTTGGGAGGCTGAGGAAGGAGTATTGCTACGAGG